TCCTTCGCAACGAGATCTTTAAATGGCGTGACCAGCCTTGTGTAGGTGTTGAGTTACAAGAGTTGACTGGCACGCGAATTGATCGTGACAAGATTTTTATTCATGAATAGTTCAGACTTTCCTAAGTAAAGTGCTTAATATAAGGAATACCAGACACTTGAGTCAAGTCACGTGAATCGCTACTAATTAACGTAAGCTTCAAACGGCATTCTTAACTCCGATCGTCACTAAAGGAGCGTCAGAGTTTTTCGGGCGGTGTCAAAATGAGCAAAAAACCAGTGTTGAGGGACGAAGGAATGCTTAAAGATATCTTCCAACTGTATGACACTACAGGAGGGGACAAAATTGACGTGAATCAACTCGGTCAGGTTTTGCGAGCGACAGGGTTGAATCCCACACAGAGCGAAGTCCAGAAAGTGGAAAGAGATGTTGGCAAGTCGACGGTTTCTTTCGAAGAATTCTTGCCGATATACAACTCCGTTGCGCAGCACATGACAAGTGTATCAAGTGTGAGTCCTGAACAAGTTGTGGATTGTTTCAAACACTTCGATCGGGAGGGAAGCGGTAGTATTTCGTCCAGTATGCTACGTCATGTTCTGACTTCGTTGGGCGAGAAACTCACAGATGAAGAATTCGATGCTTTGTCGTCAGGCCATGTCAGCTCAAAAGGAGAAATTAGCTACGAGGTCTTCATACCTGCCATCATGGCAAACGCTGAATGATAAAATGGGGAATTTTTTTTATTAAGATGATTCGACTTGCGAGCGAAATGGAGTGATTGTCAACTGAGAAACAATATCACCTAGGAATACTTGAGAGCTTTTATGTGACATGCCATGTTGACCCTTTGAAACGCGTTGAATTCTATCGCCTTTAAGTCCGCCTAATTGACCATCAAACTTGTAATCGTTAGTAATTTAGCGCCATAAATAACAAACTCCCTGGAGAGCAAACTACAGGCTTTCTGATAATTCTGTTCTTTATTATTGTAACCAGAAGAAACGAAGTTAAAGTCGAAATTGAGTTGTCAACACTATGAAAATATTTAGTCTTATAGACGCCTCGATATGTAAACAAATGATGTTATATGATGGTCTGATAACACAGAGATATGGGAATTAGGAGACTTGTGAAATTCATTCACTTTTACGGTCTTTCATATGCAAAGGGTGATAACTTATTATCTTGTTTCCGAACACGATTGGACGAGTTATGTTCCGTCAGACACTTCAGAAAACGCTCTTGGTAGAATTGAATACTATGCAAATTATGTAAACACGCAATAATGAGCAATAAATCTATATGTTGACTTTGATACGGAGCCTATTTTCAATAGATCGCAGCTTGAATTCTTCACTACCCAGGCTGTTTTAGTTCTCATGATATTGCACCTTTCCTTGAGATTTCGTATGATACGCAAATGGTACCCTTTGACAATCGACAAATTTTTGTTAGGTTGAACGGGTTTGACGTCAATAGCGGTGAATGCAACACCCGTCGGAATCTTTCAACTCCTGGAAAGGACTGGTAACTAATCAGAAAAGTCCAAACCGATCGACATCCTCATTCTTTTGGATCATGTTAGTATCTTAGCAACTACACACCTACCCCTCCCCTAACCAACATTAACTTTAGCATTGACAACATTAATTTATTATCCATTTTTTGGGTTAGGGGAGGGGAGGAGGCGCAGTTGCTTAGATACTGACCCATCAGTCCTTCCAAATTATCTTCATAAACAGCACTGCGCTGATAACACTTCGCACATTCTTTGCATATACTCAGAGCACTTTGTTGGGCACCTTGAACCTTTTTCATTCAATTTAACTGATAACACCTGGTTTCATACGACCTTTTATTTCCAATGCTGTCACCAATCTGTATCATTTTATAAATTGAGGCACGTCAAGAGTTTCGTGCACTTTTTCTAAAAATTTGATTTTCTGGACCTTTGTGTTGCAGTGGTCCTTGACGGCATCGCAAACGTCTAAATATGATAGAAATAAACAAAGTGGCTACAGGACGCAAGGCTTTAGCGTGCTCTATTTTGACGATGATCGAGGACGCGCGTAATAGCAAAACAAAGTAAATATAACGGATGGCAGTTCATTGAATCTGTGATTCGTCAATTTCAATGATGTTCTCGACACTGCTAGCGTGAATGCATTTCTGTTCGTTAGGTGCCAATCCTTTAGCAATAATAACCCAAAAGTCTAGCTTTTTTCAGTTCAGGATTTTTTTTCCTCATTTTTTGCACCCAAAACCGACCTCGCTCGAAGACTCACTCTTATCTTGTTATTTTTCAGTCCTTTCAGGCTTGCATGACATCGGGACACGTGTTTGCGTAATGAAGCTAAGACAGCCTATAAATCACGTGGCGGAATGGAACTTCAGAGTGTTAGAAAATTAAACTTCGCTTCCAAAGTTTGTATCCCACTAAGTGACACCCTTAAATTTCAACGGGAATGACTTCCCAAAGACTTCTATTCAGCTAATTACAATATCTAACCAACGGAAGGAGCGCAAATTTACGCTATCAGGAGCCCGGGTTGGTACATTCCAAAGAAATATTGTGCCTACACCCAACTTTACACCCATTGATTAAAACTGGACAACCCGAGCTCAAGTATAACAGCATTTTTCCTTTACCCTATAAATCCAGTCAGTGCCGTTGAAAATGTTTCAAAGATTGCGTGACTCTTCTAATTTGACACCTGACGTCATCTCACATGACACGCGATCTACTAGCTAATATTACAAACTTTGAAAATGAAATCTTCTTTATAAAACTTTATTCGAGGTTTCTAACATAACCAGTTTATTTTAAGATCAATTTTATTTCCTGTCAACCCGAGGGAAATTTGTATTGTAAACTAAGCCTGAGAGCTTAAACATGATATTCCGCAAGGCAGCGATCATTACTTTCGTGTCGCAAGACAATTGCCGTCCTTGCCTCTTCCCGTGGTTTCGAAAATTATCGAATGTTTTGTGAGAATTATCGAATTTTTTGGGAGAAGTATCGGCTCCAGAGGGAAAAAGGGAACACTAAAGCAGATTGCGTGACAATATTTGATTGTTAGCAATTGTTCTTTGCCAAGTACAGTATGCAAAACACGGCTGGCCCAGCCTTCTTTGTGGGTGTATCCATAAAATATCAAGTTTCTCTTTACATTCCACGCCTCGTGAGTTTTGCCTCTTGAAAATTTAAAACCGACCGTCTGAGTCGAACCACTTCATTTCTTGTTATAAAATGGCTGCGAATTGCGGATGGCTTTGGTCTTTTGTGTGGCTAATCATTCTGGTAGCCCTCGCCTGGCCTCTAGGAATTCTGGCTGCGGTATTATATGCGATATTTTCACCGTTCGCTGCTTGTTGTGCCCCGTGTACTGACTTTACTAACTTTCTTATGGAACACGGCGTTAAGTTGCCCTATACAGCCGCTAGTAACATGGTTCATGGACGAGCTGGTTGTTGAGTTCTGTTCTAGTGTGTGAAAATCGCCAAAACCGTGATTTATCTTACCAAGACGTATCGATGTTGTGTAGTTTGTTTGAACAGAATGCGAGAAGTGATGCACGAACAGAGCTAGAAGAAACACACCACTTTTATAGATCTCTACTTTCCTTTGTTTCAAGATGATTACTGTACCCGAAAATCAAAATTTCCAAGACGGACCTTGCTCAAGCTGTAAAAAGGAAGACATCTTCTGTCGCTACGACCTTCGATCTGCAACAAGAGAGCTGACGAATCGACGCTTTTCCTGATTTCTCATGTTTTCATGGTAAAATTCAGTGTGAATGGCTTCTGATGTGGTTTAGATAACAGTTGAAAGGAATGAATTTCAAATTTTCATAGAGAAATGATTGCTACTCGTGTTCAGGCAGTAGGTTTAAAGAACTAAGTTATACAAATTACGAAACAGTGAAATTCTTTTGTTTATTTTTGTATTGTATTCATATTCAAGGTTCAATAGAAAATTGCATTTTAGTTCTTCCATCTTCTGTTTGATTCGCGACTTCCGGCTTTACAATTAGCTTACTGTAGGCGGGAAAAGGAGTCGCCTTAACTTTTAGGGCAAGTTTGCAAAACCTGTTCATTGCATAGCTTTGTGTCTACGAATTGTTCAACATCAGCTTTGATGTATATAAAAAAAAATAATAACAATGCATATAAAAACCAACCTTTCATCTAAAATTAAGTTTTAATCAAGTGTGGTTAAGAGTCTTCATTTTTAAGACAATCTTATCGTGTCATGGGCTATCCACAGAAAAATTTCCCCACCAATTGTTAGCCCGCATTGATATTCCCACACAGGCAGACAGAAAAAGATGAAAGTCAATTGTGTAATCATGCATTTTGGAAATGAGGTGATTTTTACATGACCAGCACATTCCCACACACCACAGCTTTGAAACCATCAGTAACTGAGACAGAATTTCTCCTCACATTGTCAAGACAATATCAAGCAGACAAATGTGGAGAACAAAGAAAAATAAGCAATTATTGAATGGGGTCGAGCTTGATATCATATGTATGAATTATCAATGCCAAGGTTTGAGTTGTTATAAAGCTGTGGGCTGAGGCAGATAACACAAACACAAGGTTTAATAATTTATGATATCACGCAAAAACTGAATTCAACAATTGTTTTATTGTACTTTTTTTAAACAGTCTGCAAAAGAAGATTCTTCTGTCTGAGTTTGCACAGTTTGAGAACACTACATGATCAAGGGGCTTGGACACCAGGCAGACTTTGAACCAATATTGGGTTACCATGTTGACTTCACATGTTATTGTAGGTTGACTGTTTGGTCTCAACCAATCAGAGTTTTCATAGTAAGGCTAATGTATTATAATACCAATTATGGGATTATTAGTTGATCCAATAGCATATTCTCCAAACTGATCTCATAAGAATTGTAAAAGGCAACCAGAAATATTGCTTTCAGGTCCATATTGGGTTACCCCTGGCATTTGTTCACTCCCCTGATGGTTCACTACTGCCTATTTTCTACATACTACTAAGGTGAAGAGAGTTTATCATTTAATTAGCTTTCTTATATTGCAAGTTATGTATTTGTCATTATTATTTCCCTATTTCCATCACTGACAAACCTGAATTTCATTTATTTTAGACTAAAACACAACAAGGTGATATTTGAAACAGCCTAAATTGATACAAAGGTACTCACAACAAAATCGAAATTTGTAGAGTACAAGTGTAAAGTAAGAGAATTCTATATTTAGAAGCCTGTTGAAGGAAGGATTACATATTACTTTCTTCTCAAATTTAAACAGTGAAGCCTCAGCAACATAGCAATAAGTTATAACAATAGTTTATTATTATTATAGATACAAGTGGACAATATATTTTCAAGTTAATCCCAAGAGTCTACTAAATCTTTCAAATGACACCTTCCTGTATGCTTGGCATACAATTAACGCTGTTTGCACATCTTACACATCTAAGTGAAGTCGAGTATACTCTTGTGTACACAAAGCACCTCTTAGGAGTTAGCAAGCAGGGCAAGCATAATACTGTTAGTTACTTTTACATTAATATCTTTAAATTCCTTAAGATTTTATCCTCTTTTTTCCCACCAATTTCACAAGCTTGCTAGCCATATTTTCCTCCAGGAAGGGTGGGGTGGGAGGAAGGGGAGGGGTACTTGAGTCAAATTTGCTTGGTATGTGCCTCTGGCCTCTCAGAATCCCTACCCTACTATAGTCAATTCTGTGGCCCATTATAGACCTTACTGTAGTCACTTTTTGGAAATTGCAATGTTTGCAATCCCAATCTAGTCACTTTCCGTCTATGTATAAACCATGTAAAGCATTTAAATCTAATAAATCCTAAAATAAATTGATGCATATGTTAAACTGGAAATAGAACACTAATTTCTTACCCCAAACATTCCAAAAATATGCATCCCCTAGCTAGTAACTATTGAAAATGCAACCTTATTGTAGTCAATCTAGTCATGAAAAATGCGACCCTATCCAGCGGCACATCCCCCCTGATCTATTTTGTATCACTAGGAACTACCCCCCCCCCCTGCCGTCCCACCGCGCTTGTTAGCTTTCTTCACCCTTTATCGTTTCGGTTGGTTCACCTTAAACATTTTCCCATGGCCAGGTATAACCCAGTCCGCCATCTGTAACACTTTAGCCCTGCTTTCTTTGTGTTTCTCCGGGCATTCGCTGTATTCTTCCCACACATTCTCGTCATCTTCATGTTCAAACAGATCTCCACAGACAATAACTGTTCCATAATCAGTGCTTCTTACCACAACACTTACATCTGAGAACGTGTGTCCTGGAGTAGAAATAACCTGGACAGTTTCACCATCAATGCAATACGGTGTTCCTTTGTCGAAATTTTCGGGAAGATCGGCGTAATAATCCTGCTCTTGCAATATATCATGAGACACCATTTGGACAGCGTTCGGAAACAGGTTCAAATTTCCAACGTGATCTATATGGCCGTGAGTGCAGACCACAAAGTTTACTTCTTCTGGTGCATGACCGAGGTGTTTCAGTTTATCAAGCAGACGTTGTTTATCCCTTGGGCTTCCCGTGTCCACGATTATTCTGTTATTAGGCCCAGTGATTAAAGTGCTTGTTCCATTAGCTCTATATCTGTTTTCCTTGTCTGTGTAACCATAACCGTCGAGCAAAATAGAAACTTTATACAATGCGCCTTCTTCCGCCATTTTAGAGGAAGTGAAAGGATAACGAGTGGAAACAGACTGGTGACTAATGTTTTGAAAACCGCTTGTCAGTTGAGCTATGGGCGCAGATTGTCGTTTACCGTCGAAACGACGACGGTAATCTGTTTGCTGTATAGGAATTGCTGTTTTTCAGTGTGAAAATTTCATGAATCTTCACCACCATGTCAGGTAGTGAGCAAGAAGGTAAAGGGGAGGCCAAGATGGTTTCGATTCCCTTGTCATCCGATGATGAGACATCACTCGGTTAGTATCTCTACTTGAAAGAAGTTGAGATTTTTCAAGCTTCGTGTAAAACCTTTCATCCTTCTTTTTAGGTATTTTAAAGCAAAGTTCGCTTGCTTTACAAGTAATGAAATATTCGGGATGTTTACGGGTTTATCGAGGTCCGTACGTACTGATGCAGTGATTGAAAATGATCGCAATCTCGCAAGAAGCCTAATTAACGTGAATCTGTTCCCTTCAAATATTAAGTGATTTGTCGTCCTCTGAATTTTTGTATTATTGTGTCGTTGTTATTCAGGGTAAGTCATTGATCAATTGATGAAAGGCAAAAAAGGGTGGAAAAAAGCTTGAACTAATTGCGCACAATAGTCATCACCTAAAGGATATTTGGATTCATTTATACAAAAAATATTTTAGATGTGGGTGCTCTCTTGTGTATGCTGTAGCATCAAGGTTATCTTAATTACAACTTGTAGTAAATGTTTTGGAGTTTCAAGGGCAGTTGAGTATGATTTACTTCTCTGAAAACTGGGTCAAGAGGACTGATTCTGAGGCTGATTAAAGAGAATCATTGGATGGACTTCTCTTTGGCAAGACCTCATCTTGAGTCTTTCAGTGTTATTTTTTTCTCTCAGTGGCGTATAGAGGTTTAACCCAAGATCTATTTGTATATTCTCCCATCTAGCTGCCACACAGTTCCTAGCAAATTAGTTATGAGAACTGGTTGTAACATATAGATCAAGATAACAAACTCTACTTGATATAAGTTTGAGTATTCTCGTTAACTCTTTGCTGGATAATGTATGGATATTGTAGGGAGAAGTTACTTCTTAATCACTAATAGGAGTTAAAGTGTTATCAACAAACTAGAGCAGGGAAGACAGGGGAGGTGATATCCAATCAATTACAAGTGGAGGAGGATCTCTTATCCTTTTTCAGCAAAGCATGAAAGTGCATTTTAAAATTTGCCCATACTAACAATATGAGATTGTGATCACATTTATTTTGTAAGAATGTGACTTAAGTTGCAGCATGTTTTCCTTGTATTTGGTAATTTTAATCATTATTGTGGAACTGATTTTTTTTTTTTTTTTGTGGTTCATCTTTGACTAGGGACAAGCAGTCATTATCCAAATCAACCAAGCTACAATTCTAAGGAAGGAAGAGAAGGCGGTGCCTTACAAGGTAAAAGTCTACCTTGCAGGTTGAACACCTTTGAAAGTTCTAGCTTTGGAAATTGTGGGACTTAATGTTCTCAAACTGATACTGGTGTTGCCTTAAAGTTCTATCAGTATTTAAGCTTCCCACTGAAATTTGTTTGTCTATTCCAATCTTCAACCCTTTTCAGTTTAACCCTAATTACACCCTAACATCAGTATTCTATATTCTCTATTGTTATCTCATGATCTTAACGAACGATTCAGCAGTATTACTGTTAGGAGAAGTTAGATACTAGCCACTCTTAACCTTTTAACTCCCATGAGTGATCAAGAATAATTTCCCCTTACTTTCCACTGTACTATCAACCAGACAAGTGATGAGAAAAAAGAAAAATATCAATTTGGCGATTACTAGTTGATCCAATACCAAATTCTCCATATTAACATCACAAGAACTATAGGCAGACAGTAAAGAGAATTACTAAATTACCAAAGGGTTAAGAATTCAATCAGTAAATGTGACTTTGACAGACTTGTGTAGACGTACCAGTGTTTAGTAATTTTTTTTCCCTTTTCTAAATTGTATGTAGTCATCTAGACAGCATTATTTCAATTCTCATTCTAGATGATGTAACAGAGGATGAAGAAAATGAAGCAGATGAGAAAAAGCGCCTTATTAGTCAAGTACTTGAGCTTCAAAACACTCTTGATGGTGAGTTTGAGTGCCATGCATACACAAAAAGTTTTTGTTGAGTCTTTCAAATGAGGGACATGCAAACTTCCACGAGGAGGAAAGATCAGTTGGTCCTGTTAAGAGCCTTAGTGGGGTCCTTTATATCACAGTGGAAGAGGCGTGGTCCCACATAAATCAAAGGTGTTTATTCAGCATTCAATTTAACTACTCTTTAATAAAGATGAAGAAGACATAAATTCCTAAGGAGCAAAAGAAAAGGACTTTTACAAAACTATACTAACATATAATATAGGAAAAATAAATGCAAAGATGCCATGAGATGAAAAATTACCAAATGCTGAGGGAATATATTAGACATGAACCACTTATAGGAAAAAGTTTTACAAGGACACAAATTAAAGTAAATTAGTCGTTTAAAGTGTGGAAATAATTGTTTGGAAATGATACATGTAAAAACGAAAAGAATTAGTGTTCAGCAATATAAGACCTAACTGTGAGAAATTTAAAAAAATTACACATTTGTCACAAATTTTGCCCAAATGCCCCTCTTCTTCCAGGAATATATTAAATAAATTTGTACTTAATACATTTTTGGAAGAACAGGGAACTTCTTTTAAGGTGATGGGGAATCATATTGGAAGTGGTCTTACTAACTATAGTACTCAAGAAATCCAAGGTTCAGAGGACTTTTTGTATTGTCATGGTTTTTTAATTATTGTTACCCATGACATCCTTTAATTTTTCTAATATTTTTTTTCTTTTTGTTTCTCTGTTTCAAAATATGTGTAGGCTTTCCATTCATGACAAAATAAATAGTAAGAATTGTTTGGGTTGACCGAAATTATGTATGATTTCTTGTGAAAAATATAAAGCACAAATACCCTGAAATATTATTTTGGCAATGGAGATTGAAGTTGGGTAAGGGCAATTGTCACTGCCGCAATAATCCCAGGCTAGAGGGGAAGATTCTGTTCTGTTCAGTTTCACAAGGTAGCTTTAGATTGAAGTGACACAATGCCTCTAGTTTTGGCTCAGTCAACAAGTTTTTTAATAATAAGTGATTTGACTCAAATAAACTTAAGAAGGTCAGTTCAAGAGAGAGTTTTGTCTAATGACTTGCTAGCCAAAGGTTTTTGTTATTATTTGAAAATGATATGGAATTTTTGCATTTCTTTTGGAATTTTTTTCCAGATTTATCCCAGAGAGTAGATGCTGTAAAGGATGAAAACCTGAAGCTTAAATCAGAAAACCAGGTATGAGGCAAATTGATCTGTCAAATAACTAGAAAAGTATGATTCTGAATTTGTTTTATTTTTATTGGACTTTTTAAAATCTTTTTGTTTGCTTCTCATCTCTATTGTTGTTTTTGAATGATAAGGCATTATTCATAAACTCTTGTAACTACTTTCAGAGTGACTGCCTATGCAGGTGCTATGATGATCCATTTAACAAAAGTCCTCTTTTCACCATACAAACGTGTGTGACGTCAAGAGAACTTCTTTGATTAATATATAATATGAATTATAATCTGAAGATTTGTGTTAAATCAAATTGTCACACATCATTTTTGTTTATCAAACAATTAAATGTGTTTTGATAGAGTTCTTGCAAGGTATACCTAAAATCCTTCTCTGTTTTTTTGTATTTTCAAGGCCTTTCAATCTACTGACACATGCAAGTCTGTAAAAATTTAGTTCTGTTACATGTTACATTTCAACAATATTTAATAGGTACTTGGACAGTACATTGAAAATTTAATGTCAGCCTCAAGTGTTTTTCAGCCGGCTAACCCTGACAGCAAGAAAAGGTATTTTACAAGTGCATTTTGTGTTTATTCTATCAATAGAGAAGACCAGGAATATGATTTAGCAAATGAATTGCTAGAAGAGACAGTTAAAGAGATTATTTTGATATGGCACACACTTTTCTGGTGAAAGGTATTTAAAAAAATGAACTGATTAAAGCTACAGTGTTGAAGTGAGGACAATTTTGAACAGAAATCAGTTAAAAAATTGAGAAAAGGTTTAGGTCTTAAACTGCAAGACCAGTTTCATTTTAGTCATAAATATGAAATTAAATGCAGAAAGAGAAATGGAATGCTGTCAATTTGATATTAGGTTAAATAAAAAAACGTATGGGATTATGTACATGGAAAACAGTGACCACTTGGTACATTTATAACATATTAATAAGTGTATTTCTATGTCATTGTGAAGGCAAGTATCTGTAAAAATTTTTTGAATTTATTAGCAAGAATTAATGTAACCCTTTCTCCTTAGGCCGAACCCTTCCAAACCAGGGGTGAAGAAAGGAGACAAGACGATATATTAATGTTAACATTTAAAGGAAGAATTTCTTCGTGTTTATCTGATATATCATTACCTAACTGCTATTTTGTGAGCATTTTTTTCCTTGCCATGGATCCAAGACTCTATGAGACTGAAGAAATGAGACTTAAGCATTTAACAGAGATAGTATTTATATATGTTATAGTAGTATAATTTGTCAACTATAATAATTTTTTGTTGACTTATTTCACTTTTGTTTGGGGACGGGGAGTCATGGCAACATTAAAATGCAAAATCATTCCGCGAATGAAGCTATCTGGGCTACATTTTGTGTATTTAATACCTAAATACCAATTGTTGTATTATAAGGGATTGTTTCTTTTATTTGTTTCTTTAGACACTAGTAGTGCATAACATTTGTTTCTTTTTGTTGCGGTGTTACGAACCCAGTGTGGTCTAACTGGATGTACTGACCGCAACAATCATGATTTTTCTTGAATTTCTGAGCTGAAAATCTGAGGTTAACATCTCACTCCAAAAATCTTGAGAGCCGTCAGCTCAGTGCTCTTCGACTCAGGATGATTTGAAATCGTCAGCTTGACTTGATGGTCAGACCCCTGATACTAGCTCGTCCACCAAGGCTTTGCGATAGGTATCCGCTGAACGTACGAATGCAGGTGTAATTCGATTGGGCGGGTAATTGTTCGATAGGATTTCTTCAGCTTCTGTGATGTTATCAGCTGGTTTGAAATTAATTGCTTCTCAGAAATGTTCGGGAGTCAGTTATGTATCGACTTCGCTTAGTATCCGCACTGTCTTATGTACAAATTCAGTTCGTCAACAAGAAGTGAGAACGGAGTCCTTGAATTGTTGCATGGCTGGTTTTGATAGTTCGATTAGCTATTGGACAAGTTTAACAGAAATGCCCTGATCTTTTGCTGTAAAAATAATTTTTTCCCATTGTTGAAAACTTACTTTACGCGCACAGCAAAATACTGCTATGGACTCGTCATCAAGACAACGCCTTTATATCGTTCAGTATCAACTCTTTGGTCACTATGGTTCTTATCTAGCCTACAGAAGGGAATTTACAACAACCTAGCCGAACCAGTGTACATCTGAATAGGTCATACTAATGCACTGCAGTGTTTCATGTTCGAACTGAGATTTTAGGAGCATTCAACTGCTGACCATTAAATGATATCACTAACATCTGCATGCATCGGGTTTGTACGTGCAGTAAGGTTGCCTTTTTTCAGCGTTGAAATAATCAATAGCGATCCGATGAAATGAATATCAGGTCAACTTTTGATGTTTTCTTCGGGTATATATAGAAGTAAATGAATGTGTTGAGCGTTTACAAAGTTCCACCACAAATTATCATATGATGTATACATAAACTTTACTTTTAACTTTTTAAGTCCCAATTTATGGGGATAATAAGCTGTGTTGAAGGTTACACAAAACAGTCAAACTGTGGTACCCATCTTAATGGTAATTTAATTCTAATTAAATTAAATTAAATTTTAAGTTTTTAAGTTGCAGGTTTACCCTGCATCCATATCCTACCAAGGGGACATTCTTAATAACAGCAGTGTTGCAGTCGTTTCTGTGCTGCTTTTTCTAGTCATACTTTTGCCTAAATATAATTAACAATTGGTTCATAAGTCAGCGTGCCTTCATCAAGATATGAAGCACGTGGGAAGTTTGGAGAGCACGAAAGATGCGTAAGAGTTGCTCGAGGCGTAGCCGAGAGCAACTCTAGCTTCTTGAGTGCTCTCCAAATTTCCCAAGTGCTTCATGTCTCAATGAACGCACAGCTGACGTATGAACCAACTGTTTTATAACATTTTCAACCCGAAGGAAAATTTTTTTCTCGAGGGATTTGTTTGCTGACGTCATGAGAGTGCACAATAGGAATATGAAGCACGCTCGCGCAATTGAATTTGATTAGACAGAGTTACTAGTTATGTTATAATGCGAATTTACAGTACTTGAAACTAAGAATGTTCCTGAATTTGGTGTATAGTTCACGGACAGGAGCAAAAAGAAAGTTACACCACAATGGCCTCCAAGGCATCAAAGAATTAACTCAGTGATAAAGAACTACTCAAAGTGTTTGCGCAGTTAGTCTATGTTATCAGAAAATTGGTTTGTAAACTAAGTGAAAAAAATGTTCCCCCCAGCTGGTTTCTTCGTCCATCTTGATCAAATGAAGTCGTCGTCACCAGAGTCGCGATCTGTGCAGCGGACTGGGAATTTGTCTGAAAGACGAAATGATGAACAGTTATAAATCCGCGTAGAAGGAGAGGCCCGTGTAAAGGCATGCTGTTTATTGCTGGAGCCCTTCCGGCAAATTCCCGAAGCTACAAGGGTTTTTTTAAATAAATATCTATTGCTTTGTTGCCCGCGCTTGGTCTGAGAAGGGCATTGAAGTCTTTCTCGGTAACCTATTCAGTGAGCTCCAGGTTGGATTAGACGTCAAAGAACAGGATCGAAGAACTTGGAGAACCAACAACTCGGATCAGTGACTCACAAAAGCTCGAGTTGGTTGCTCTAGGCTGCCTCAAACAATCCTTACGCATCTTCTGACGAGCTCTCCAAACTTTCCAAGTGCTTCATATCTCGATGAACGCACGCTAACGTATAAACCAGACGTTAGTGATAATGGTGGTTTTCATCTATCGTTTTAAACTGGACGTTAAAACTCAAAATTTTATGAAAAGGAGTTAAGAACGTGCTAAACACCAGAAAAACTCTAACTTGTCAATCTCTCTACTAAATTCAAAGAGTCCAAAGAGATATCTATTAACAGAGCATTTCTTAAACTTTCCAGTGTAAACACATAGGACTCGATGAGGATGCAACCCACCGCGAAGGGATCTTTCCTTCCAAGAGAATACCAACAAGACTATTGCTCAAATTATTTTCTTTGACGGCTCCACTTGTTGAATGTATCCAGATCTAAATACTATTTTCTGTCGCCTATCAATTCGCTTCAAGTAAATGTTTTTGAGTTTTTAGCGTTTGTCTACTTTCGAGTAAACATCTTTTGACCAGCGCCCCTAGATTGCAATGGAAGTATAAATCATGCGAACGAGGAAACATTCAGCTTGGTTTCAGTTTCAGTCTTTTTCAAGAGCTTTGTTTTGTTTCGGTTGCTCTTGACTAGATAAACAACGAAAATTAAACCGTGTTATTGCAGACAGCTGATACCGACGTAGCACCACAGTTTCTTTAGAAACTTACCCCTTGAAAGATTAAACAGTTGCCGACTTTTCAACGTTGAGTTCTTCTTATTGTCTGCATGTCGTAGATAAACTAAATCATGCAGTTACCTTAACAAAGCCCTTCATGGCTCGTTTCGTTAAAGCCGAGTGACTACTACTGCCGCGGCTCGTTCTGCTCCTGTACTTACTAATGCCGTCAAAATTTCGGCAGAACTCACTAAAGCCGTCGAAATTACGGGAGAAATTTAGAGTCAAGAGATAAATAGGTAACTGAATTAATAAATAAATATGTCGATTTATAATGTCCTGAAAGAGAATGATCACAAGACTAACTATGCAAAAAAGAATTGCTTACCTTCCAACAATCCGTCTATGAACCGGGGATCGTTTGGTTCTGTACATTGCACCGGGAACCTCTCTATAGAGAAAAAAATTCATCCGAATTAAGCTCTATATTGAGCACTATATTACCAGAGTCAGCCAAACTTGGCACACTTGGCGCAATTATATGTAAATACATTGGTTTTTTCACTGACATATTTAGATCTCGACCTGTCAAAGTTATTGTCTGAATGTCACTGATAAAGTAAGTCATCCAGTTACCTTGACAAAGCCTTCACGCCTCTCGTCGATAAGACGGCGTGAGAAACTAAAGCCGCTGGCCGGTTCCGCCTCTGTAATTACTAATGCCGTCAAAATTTCGTCAGCAACTTACTAAGACCGTCAAAATTACAGGAGAAATTTAGAGTCAACAGATAAATAGGTAATTGAATTAATAAATACATATCAATGAAGACGAAATTGATAATGGAAACGATAAATTATCAAATCAATAAATCCGTTCGTCCGTATATTTGGACGTTTATTTTCTTGGAGTATCGATTCTGATGACAAAAGAATGTCAATTTTCAATATCCCGAAAGAGAATAATCACGAGACGAAATATGCCAAAAAGAATTGCTCACCTTCCAACAATCCATCTATGAACTGGGGATCGTCTGGTTCTGTGCCTGGTTCTGTACATGGCACTGGGAACCTCTCTATAGAGTAAAAGTTCATCCGACTTGAGCACTATATTGCTACATTACCAGAGTCAGCCAAACTAGGCACACGCAGTTGGATGTAAAAACATTGTTATTTTCTTCATATATTTAAATATCGACCTAAGTCCCAAAGCCAAGCGTTTCACAGCCCAATGTTACTAATTTTGCGGAGTTGTCGATTTCAGTGGACCTCTTTTTGAATTAATTAGCGTTATTCCGCATGCAAACGAGAAACATATGTTTCTGAACTAGCAACATTTCGCTTACATTTGGTTCGCAGTTCGGTTTCATACTAATATCTAAGCAAATATCTTTTACGTGAAGTAATTACAGCCTCTTTTTCAACAAAATGGGAACAGAGAAATCTCAAATCAAAAACCTCGAAGTACGCTTTGTAAAAGCATGATCAGGAGGCGTTCACTATCCGGCCAAGTTATTTTGCCTTCATGTGAACGATGCAACAATTTCAGGACTGTAGCCCTCTTCCAAACAAAACCATCGAGGATAAGAGGATATTTTGTTAAATAAACTGCCGATTGGACATAAAATGCGAAACAATGAGATCGCGTGTTAATGTGAACAGTTTTCGGCTAATTGACTGCATCGCTCTATGGGCGCATTCTATATCCAACTTTAAAATTTTATCAAATCGCTTTGGAGATCGAAAACAACTATACTTGGCCTCCAAAATTTAGATTTTCAGTCATTTATTTTGTGTAGCACATAGTTAAATAACGGGTCACTTTTGAGCTATTTTTAAACAAGTTAAAGAAGACGGTTGGTTTGTGTAAATGAATGGTCAAGAATTGCTCAAATTGCTGATTCGATGTTTTTTTCAAGATCTGGTACTTCGGATAGAAACAACACGGCTCGACCATCAAGCTTATTATAGGTTCCTGTTGAAACTTACCTTCCTCATAATCGTGTTCTACAGCTCTTTGTGGCCCAAAATACAAGATAAGCCTAAGAAGCCCTTCAAAAAACATCATCAAGTCTTGAAAACGTCTTTTGAGGTACAGACGAACAGGCATTATTTACAACTTGAAAACTTTGGGTGTTCCGATGGCGTATGCAACTTTTGCTAATATGACAGCTACATCAAAACAGTTGGTGGGGTATATGAAGCTGTTTTCTTCTTCTCGACGGGCGGTCATGCGGTCATTCAATTTAGCGGCTCATTTAACAACGACAAAGGCAAAAAGCGCGTGTTTATGTGTCTAAAAGCCCCCCCCCCAACCCTACACATCTACACTCCACGGTTGTCTTGTCGTTGTAAGAGAATTCAAGAAAGGGCTCTTTAAGACCAATGCACGCGTGATAAAACACTAAAATTGTAATTTTTCATTCGTACAAATTTTGATCCTCGCTTAATTAAGTCGAGACCGCCCACTTTAATGTCTCTGAACTTAAACAATGCATTGGACTTGAATAACCTACGTCGCACAAATTACATTTGCTTGTGTAAGCCACGCATGGTGTAATAGACAATTGAAAGCCACCCACCATGATTTCTATAACAAAGAAAACATCGGTGACAGAAAAAAGGAATGATAATGCTAATTAAAACTGTTATCAAAAGATGATTGAAAACATGATTTCATTGTTGACACCAATATTGGCGCTCAAAGTTTGCATCGGCCGTATAACCGGACTGAATCCGCCGATTTTGCATCTTTAAACGGTAGTGGCAGCATGATTGTAGGACTTTATCCTTTGTATCTCTTCCACCTTTGTTTATGTGCTACTCATTTAGTAGGAGTTATGTTTGCCACGACTAATTCAACTGCTAGATCGGTATATCATCAAAGATCTCTTCCGGTGGACTGATTCTTCCTCAATTGCTTTTAGAAGCCTTTAATAAGTTTGTTTTACAATTTACTTCTTCAACTACTCCATGTTTGATAACCGTGACAAAAGAATTCAAATCACTTTTCTTAGAAACTGTTTTGCTTGAATGCAGACTGCAGAATGACAAAAAGGTGAAATGATCAAAAAGTGAAAGGTATACCTCTCAAAAATATATACTTGTACAGATGTTTATTTTGTTCTGTGCAATCAACCGGAAACCTGTCTACAGAAAAAGAAATACTCCAAGTTTTCGCAAATTTTTTCTGCTGGGCAGAGGGTCTAAGGAGTGTATCTT